CTTACAAGTTAAATTCTCGCTTGCTGGGCAATGAATCATTTGCCATCCCCAGTACGCCCCATAGTTGACAAACAAAGCAGTATTTGCCGCCCTATTCCAAAACATGGTACAGCGTATTTTGGGAAATGATGCTTCATTAAGAAAACATGGTCTAGGGCAGCACAATGATACAGGAGTCACCCAAATGTGCTACATCCTGTGACTGGCTCTGAAGTAAGTGTGAAATCAGTCACCAGACACCAGAGGAAGCCACTCTTTCCTAGGGGACATCAGCTCCCAGCTGGGCTCGCTCACCTTCCGTCTGTCCCGACTCAGACCACAACCCCTTAAACCCTCCTGAGCAGCTGAGCCCTTGGCAGCCCCCACGGCAGGAGGATCCAGCCCACACCCTTCGAAGGCACTTTCTGCAACGCGCTGCCACATTGTTGCCACATTGTTGCCACAACAAAATCCATGTTTATCTACCTAAGGCTCCCCTTCCTTCAGGATCTGCGGCCTGAAGAAATGAAACAGCTCCCTGCTCAAGCTCAGAGCCCAAAAACATAAATGCACAGTTTGAGGGGAAGAAGAGGTAAGAGAGGGAAGAGAGTAATGACAAGGAGGGATCCTTTTTAAGTCTGAATTTCTTGCCTCTTTCGACGTGTAATTTTGAAACACTTTATGTGCAGGAAGTATTTGCAACGTATTCTTTTTTAGATACAGATTATCAAGAGCATCACCCACATTAGTGCCTCTGCACATGAGGGAGAGAAACCAAGGGAATGCAGACAGCTCCAAAAGCAAACTCAACTAAGCACATACAGCCAAAAAAATTGCTACTAATGGTTCAGTGAGATGCTCCAGCACAGATGGAACAAGGGAAACCACTCCTGAACAGGAACAGGGTAATGAGGCATTAATGGCAGCAAGAGTGCATTCTCTTTTCTCAGTGTACCCTTTTTCAACTGACAGAACTATAATTAAGTAGCAAAGGGCCCCTGCCTCACTGGGACTGCAACATCACCTTTCTCCAGAAGCACCCAGCAAACCACAGCAGGCAATTACAACTTCTTTTTTTTTTTTTATTCTATGAAAATAAACTTGAGTTTTCTAGGACACTTACTGAATTTCCCCATAACTTTCCAATTTTCTAATAGAATAATTATTTTTATCATCACTCAGATCAGCCACGTTCTGAAATATAAATACGTCAAGTTAAACAAATCATTTGTCCTGTGCACAGAGCTCAGCTGCTGGAAGTGCTCAAGGCCAGGCTGGATGGGACCCTGCTCTAGTGCAAGAGGGTTGGAACAGGATGGTCTTTAAAGTCCATCTTGTCTGAGCCACAGCAGGACCCTCCAGTGCGGCTGCAGGTCCTGACACTCCAAGGCTGCTTGTGAAATCCACCTTCTACTCATTAAATAAAAAGATAAAGACTACAGTGGAGATCTCCCAATTTTGTGTTTGTAATAGGAATAAGCTCCTTAAACAGCTCCATTTCCTCTAGGTTATGGACTAACTTCCAATGCCAGTGGCTTTGGATGCAAAGCCAGAGCAACCTGGCTTCAGAGGAACTACTTCACATTTCAGCCTGATGCCTCAGACTGAATTCATGTTGAGGGGATGAGGCTATCACGTCAACACTCTTGCTTAATGTTTTGAGTCACGTATTATATTACTCACAAGACACAGTAATTGTCTTTCCATCCTTTTTCCCCTCACTGAGATGAATAACTTCTCTTATGGGGCAGGTTTTCCTAGGTGCTTTTGGTTAGAAACAAATGGGTCACCGAGCAGACAAAAAAAAGCCCAACCAGAAACCTCCACATACCCCCATGACTTAAAATTATCAAATAATCCTGAAGTGAAAAGAAAAGTTGCAGATTGCTATTTACTTGTGAAAGGGATGTAGGTGGTCTCAGTCCTGGGGGTTGCAAGTGCCATCAGAGGAGCATCACTGTGCAAACCTCTGGGTACAGCCACTGGTCCAGACATTCCCTGGGTGCAAATTGCTCCAGCAAGGCCCCTCCACTCACTCCCCTGCTGTCCAGTAAATGATGCATAACTTATCCTTTTTGTCTCAGCTGGTTATTATTTTTTTTAAATAAAGAAAACTGAGGGCCTTCTCAGGTGCAGCCTCCACACTCGGGATTACAGCAACAGAAAGACAGGGAGCAGCCGGGCTTCGCCTCTGTCCTCAGCTCACTCTGGTGCAGTTCGGTGCCAGAGGGATCAGGAAAAGGCTCCACACTCCAAGCGCGTTGTTGCTCTTCCCTTCCACTGCTGTGATATTAAGCCATCCAAGAAAACGGGGGGAGAAAAGTTCAATTGACACAGAATGCCCCAAGCGCCCATAAGCGGGACACGCCAGTACTCCCGGAACATCCCTTGCTTTTCAAATCATTTTTCAACTTTACAGCTCGGTGGTATAACAAAAACAGCTGCGCAGAGTTGTTCTGAATCCCTCCCTAACTTGTGCCTCCCTATTTGTGCCTTCCCTGGCTGCTGCCGCTTAGCAGCTCCTCAGCCCCTTCTCCTCGTGGCACATCATGGGTTCGCAGGGCACCAGGTGCTGGAGGGACAATCTCGCAAAATAAACAGCAAATGTTTCAAGAAGTTGCCTTTTTCCCCACATAACTTTTTCTATAACTTACAAAAAAATAACGCGTCGGATCCACGCCGGCCGTGGTTCAGCCCGCCATGTTTTGCGCAGTCCCTCTGCACGTTTTCAGCATGCCCTGCTTGCTCGTGGTGCCTCGTGTGTGTTTCTGTACCTCACTCCGAATTCCTGGTCTCTCTCTCGCCCTTTTCTGGGGAGGGTTTTCCTCGCTATTTTCACCGCCGAGGCTGCAGGCAGGTACCGGAGGAAGCAGTTGGGCGGCCCCGCTGAGGGGGGAAGCACCCCAAGATTCCTGCAGGGCTGGGCACAAATTCCCCATTATTTCTTGGAGGAGTGAGGTTTGAGTTGTTTGTTTGTTTTGTTTTTTTTTTAATTTTTGAGGAAAAACTGGCCTTTCCCTGCGCCCCAAGCACCTCCGTTCCAGGCTACGGACACAAACCCAGCACCACCAAAGCGGCGGGGATGGAGTGAAACATGGCCGCCCTGTCTGAGGGGAGGCCGCCAACGCCCTCACCGTGAGGGGCTCAAGGCTGCCTTGCTGCCCCCGCAACCCTCCCCAGGCACCTTCTTCCCAGTCCCAAAGACCTCTCCCCGCCAGAAACTGCTTGGGATATTTGGAAATAACGGAGAAAATTCCCTCCGGGGCGGGAATGGAGCTGCACCGGCTGCGTTTGCAATCGCACAGGGCTGCCATGGGGGGAAGGCGGGAAGCGGTTTACCTCAGGGGCTGGAGGTGGCCAGAGGCAGCCCCGACTACATCTATCCCAAGTTTTCCCTTTCCAGGGACATAAAAACTTGATGTATTGCAGCACCATCTGCTGGTTCCTTTAAGTAGGACACACGGGGATCTCCCACCGGAGTGGGAAGGAGTAGAAAGAGTTTGGGAGGGGGGTTCGCGTGGTTTCTTGCACGTGGGCTTTTCCTGGAGTTTTTTTTTTCTTGTAAAGGCACGAGTTGCCTGTAAATAAGCAGTGTAAGAAAAGCCACCTAGCCGGAAAAAAAGCAGACAAGTTAGTGCCGAGTTTAGGGAATTCTCTGAAGAAGTACAATAGTCAAAATCCAGGTTTTTCCCTACTCCTCTAAAGCCTGGTCAGTCTGCAGAGCCCCCGGGGAAGGATTTTCTGATGTGACCAGCTGCTTGTGGGCACTTTGATTTTTTTTTTTACTACGTTTCTAACTCGGGCTGCCTGCCCTTATTTATTTAAGTTTTCATTTCGTGCAGCCCCAACCTGCCACTTTCCGACCCTGTGGTCCCGTGGAGGGGCTCAGCCCGCCCGCCCACAGCCACCATCCCTTTGCTAAGCCCTTACAGTCTTTCCTCATTCCAGCCAGTTTCCTTCCTGGGCTTGATTCATCCCAACAGTGAAGTCATGTTGGTGAACTTTATTGAAAGTTCCTCCTTGCTGTTAATTTACAGCCTGGTGAAGGCAAAAGGAAGAGATTGGGATTTTTTTTTCCCCCTCTCAGTGAGTGACTTGAGATAATAAAAATGTGAAGAAACGCGTTACTTTGAAATTATGTTATACGGAGGAATGGCACTCACCTCTTTTGCTTCTTTAAAATTCAAGTACAATACTAATTAAACCATGACTAAATAAAACTGGCCCACCCTGTACAGTGTTTGATTTGAAATTAAAAAAAGTTTCCCTCTACAGGGCCCAGCAAATGTCCAAGGTTCAAACAAAGTACGAGGTGCTAACGAACAGAATCTTGACAAACCTTGTTTTCCTGCACAGGGGCTTGGTACATAATGATTTCATTCAGCAGCTACTGTTCAAGCATGGAAAGTGTTGGTAAAGAAATCCCACAGAGATCAGACAACCATTTTCCTAACTTAAGCTTCCCCCTCCACTCTTTCCCCCCCCCTCCCCTTTGCCTTTCGGGCCTCTGCCAGTCATAACATAAATATTCATCAGCTGATATTTGCAGTAGCTGTGAAGTTATGAATGAGGCCAAAGCCTTTCCCTCCTGCCCCATCTGCAAAATGGCAGCTTCTGGTCTTAGCTCATGGTCAAACGACACTTTCCGAAATCCCCGAAGTGCACTTGCAGGCTTTTCAAATTCAGTCGGGTTTTTAATGCGCAAAGCAGAAATGCTGTCTACCTAATATTTACCCTGGGATTACTGGAAAAAAAAATAATATATATATTACTTTGCTATGCTTTAAACTTTGCGATGCCTTGACGTAATAGCCAGAAGTGTTGGCAGCTCAAAATGTTGGTTGGTTTATTTCAGGGGACACGACTGCTGCAGGTTTCCTTTCTGAATCGAATACCAGACACTTGAACCATTTGTTGTGCAGAAAAGAGAAACGGCTTTTATTCTTAATGCTGGTTTCTTAACCACCTGGGTGCTGTCAGAAGGAGCCACATGCACTGGAAAACACTTTTAATAAGACTCCTTTAAGCCTGCCTTAAACCTTGGATCCTGACAAATGGAATCCCCACTGCCTGTCATACGTGTTTTCTCTCTACAGATTAGCGAGGGGCTGCTGCTTTAAAAATGTTCCATTCTCACAAAGCCTGGAATTATGCTCTCAAACCTACCATGGGTCAGCAGAACAGTGCAGACATCTGATGTAGCCCCACCAGCAAAGGCAAAAGCAGACATGTCAAAGAAACAAGGTGACAGTACAGAGCTTTAATGCCTTTAATTAAGCAAGGTACCTTTCCAGCCAAAAGAGCTGTACTGATGGACCCAGATGGGGACCTTAAGCCAGAGCATCACTGGGTCTTAGAGGCTTAAAAATCCTAAATACCCAGAGGCATTGGGAAGTCCTGATAAAGAGGCTCAGCACCATTCAGGATCCTGGAAAAACCTTTTCATAGCTTGGGTTGCACAGATCAATCATGCAAACTATCCTTATCTTTTCTAATTAATAAATTAAAAAAAAATTGACATGAAAACCAAAGGAAAGTGATAAGCTTAGGAAGTTTTAGAGATCTTGCAATCAATCATCTCATTTGATTTTGACCATGAAAAAGCCAGAACTATTTGCCCAACAAGCCTCCAATATTTTTGGCCAAAATGGAGCGTATCTTCTCAAAGCCCTTCTATTTTTCATTTAAATACTACAAAGGACAATTTACCACATCCCTTGGGAACATTCCAACACTAATAACCCTTGCTGCTAAAAAAAAAAAAAGCCCCCACACTTTGCTTTTAATACCTTCAGCTTTCAGCCGGAGGATCCTGTATGTCTGTTTTGACATGAAGGAGCCCCAAAATCATGTCACCTCCAAACCAGGACCAAGTACATTGCAGCAAATTACACCACACCCAAAAATCCCAAGTTCTTCCTAGGCTGCTGACCCTGTTTTTATCAGCTGTTTACATATATTGTGCTGCTTAAGAGCATCTTCTTGGGGCAACGGAAGCGTCTTTGTGACAGTGGAAGTGAACAGTAATTAATTGCCACACTTCACTGAACATACAAATATTGGGATGAGCTGTTCTGGCATTTTCCATGATGACCCAGCACCGCGGGACGGTCTAACTGCTGCCAGCACTAGGAACCAAAACAAGAGGGAAAAAATGAATCACAGTGACACCTTCCCACAGCCAATGAGGCAGCGGGGAACAGAGTGTACGCCAATTCCAAGGAGAAAAGGAAAGAGAAACTTCAAGGAATTTCTCCTTAGTTGTTTTCCCAAGAGGGTGGAAAGGTGAGACTGAAAAAGACTCTAGAGTAGGACATTCTCTCCTGCATTCCCATGTATCAATAGGCATAGTAATAAACATATTAATTTTCCTGTATTAATAGCCAAAAAGCTTCTGGTAGAGGCAATAAAAATCCTCCAAGGTAAACTATGCAGCGCACAGATTCTGTCAGAATGGCACAGCTGTGCTGCAGTCACAGCTCCAGAGACCATGGCAGCAGCCACAGTGTTGGCTGAGGCACACTTCCATGCTGCAGCCAACATCTCTGCTCATCACAGCACTGAAGATTTCCAAACACATCAGTAAACAGCAACACAAATTAATAAACGAGCCTGGAGGCTGGATGTGCTCTACAGCTCCTTGTTCTTTGGATGCACTTTACATCCTCTGTAATAACTTGACAGTACAGCTCCCTTCCATATCAGAGCAATAATGGGAAAAGGATTGAGAATCAAAAGGAATACTTTTTTAATCTTTTTATCTTTATGGTAAAAGGGCCTGCCTGTGATAGATCAAGAGTATGGTTTTATGCTTGCTGAGGGGACACGTACACCCAAACCCAACACACTTGAAGCTGATAAAAAGCAGAGCAGGCAGATGGTTGCACTGACTGGGCCGACTGTTCATTAACATGCCAGCGAATTATTTTGGCCCTGTGTGGTTTTGTAATCTGCTCTGCAGCAGTTACAAACCTACACATAACCACTTGCAAGTGACTGTCCATAGACTAACAGGAGAAGACACTGCTAATGATGCACCAGAAGGTCTTCCAAGTCTCTCTGGCACCACTGAATCACCAGAACACAAGCTGGAGCTGGAACTATCAGAGATGTCTTTTAGGTCTGCTGTACAGCTGTGGCAGTCTTCCAGGTTAACAGGGAGAGCATGAAAAGCAAAAGATTGAATCCAGTTAAGGTATAGTTTATGGATAAATAACGTGGAAAATGAAGTACAGGGCTCATAAGATACTTGGTTTGTTTATACATTGAAGTGTGCATGTCATGCACCAGGGCTGTACATTTTTCTATCCACAAAAGATGGGTTGGATGGGGCTCTGAGCAACTTGGTCTAGTGGAAGGTGTCCCTGCCCATGGCAGGGGGCTTGGAACTGGATGAGCTTTAAGGTTCCTTTCAACCCAAGCCATTCTGGGGTTCAGCAGCAATTCTGTAGCAGGGCAAGTTTGTCTGGGAAATACCAGCAGCATTTAGAAGGTAACTGCACTGACCTTGCCAAATTGCAATCACCACGGCCTCACTGCACAACTTGCTGCTTTGCTCCAGCTGTGGCCTCAAAATCCCTCATGAAAGCGACAATCAAGCAGCTCACATGACAGTTGCAAGTCTCACAGATTCAAATACTATGGACTTGATGGGATACACCAAAAATTCCAGTGAAACCAGTGAAAAATTTAGTGTCCCTTGGGAGGGTAGGGAGAGCTGAGCCTGTAATTTCAGATTCTCAGCTGACATAGGTCAGTACAACTCCACAGATTGCAACAGAGCTGTGCTAGCTCGCAATTTAGCCCTAAACATTTTGTACAAAGATTGTATCAGCATCTAAACAGATGAAGTGGGAAGAATGTTGCGATGGCAGTGGGCTTCTTTATTCACTCCAAAGCATGACCCGTACAGCAGAAATTCTATCATAGCAAGCCCTAACCTCCCTGGGCCCGGGACAGCACTGCTGAGCTCTTGCTGGGGGCAAGAGCACTTGAAGGTCTTTGCTAGTCTCCTTTCCAACTTCCTTACCATGGCTACAGGTGATGTGCAGCCTGGGAAGCAGACACCTTGAGGAGGCACTCGGTGCTTTCTCTACTGCCCTAAAGTGCTGCTGAAGCACCACAGGCCACCCAAGTCCCCCCCATGCAGGTTCCTCTCTCCCGTCTGGCAAACCACTCTAACTAGACTTCAACTTTAACCCTGGGTAAGGGGCTCTTGAAAAATGAGAGTAGCTCTTACCTTCTGGCCAAAAGCCCTTTACTAACACCCACACCTCATTTGAAAGAATTTCCCAAGAGCAAAGACCCGAAGGTCCCAGGCCTTTCTCTCATTCCAGGTTCCCTGTGAGATCACACCCATGGAGTTCACAGTGAAGGCTGATGTGGACACAGCAGCACATGCAGGCTGTGATGAGATGTAATACCACAACAAGGAGTGGGACACTGGCACCCTCAGTCCTGCAGCCATGGATCAGGAGCTGTGGAACAAACTCACCAGGAGGCAGTAAGGAAAGGAGGTGGATTAGTGCCAACTCACCCTTTATTTGCAGATACATTCAGTTGTGCTTTCCTGAGACTGTGACCGAGTTCCCTTTTCCTACTATAAATTTTTCTAACTCTTTCCAAAAGCTTGCCACGGGAGTTCCTTGTATGAAGGTGCTTCTTTGGTTTTTCCAGCTTCCTGGGTAGAGACTTAAGCTTGACAAAAGGCATTTGTTTATATTAAATTCAGTAATTTTTGCTGCTCTTAACTACCTGATGGAAAGGCTGCAGATGCGTAACTAACTCCAAAGTCAGTAACAATTTGTATTGAAATTATAATAGATGCCCTTCCTACACTCTCCAACCTCTACATTTGATAGGGCATGTAAGCAGACCCAGAGGAAGCTTAGGTGTGAGAGATGATCCTGCTGTTTGAATTCCCACCTCTGATGAGCATTCAGGTCTTACCTGTTAAGAAAACTGTTTCTCTCACATCCATGCAAGATTTCTGGGTCCTGTTACCTGTTTCTGGGTAGCAGTATATGCTGAACTTACTTGCTGACCATACCAAGTAGAAATATGTAAAATACACATCCTGAAAATGTGTAACAGCTCAATTTATACATATTTATCTTACCTTATTGCAGGATCTTCACACCTTCCTTTGAAGTCTTTGTGACTGTTCTTGAAAATTAAACAAAGCTCACATGAAATAAACCTAATGGTGAATACTTGGTCTGCAGGAACCCTTTCAATGAAAACAGAATGTTTTAAATCCACTATTTTCAGTTCTCCTGACAGGAAAACCTAATTAAACACAGTATAGAGAATTAAAGGGGTTAGTATACTACTAAAGGGACTTGGGGGGAAGAGAACTAAAATCATGTTATGCTACTGGATTTTAGAAAACCAACAAGAAATAAGGGGTCTTCCATTCCCATACTGCAAAGCCACCCCGAGCAGATTTTGCTTGGCAAACTGGCAGAGCATAAGGTATAGTCTCACTTGTACAAGGAGCTTCCCCTTCTGCAAGTTAAAATGCCCAGGTTAAAGGCTCTGCTGTGGCCCAGCTCTGCCTCTGCCCCGTGGTTCACCTGTGGACCTTCCCCATGGTTATTGAGTATTTGTGATATGTGTTGTCCACCCCAGAGTTACCTCCCTTATGGAGAACAGCGAATTAAGGGGGTGAAATGGAAAGTTAAAGGACTTGGCTGAGGGACTCAGTTTGTTTCTACCCCCATTTTAGAGAGACTTTCTCTTCCTGTGCCTGTCAATTGACCCTTCTGACTGTTGAGCAGAGGCTGCTGCCTGCAGAAAACCATCTCTGCAGAGCACAGGGCTGCCTTGACCTTGGCTGGCACTTACAGCTGCTGCTGTCATAAAACAATAACCAATATTAATCACTGCCAGGCTGGTTATAGGAATGTCTCCCCCTTGGCTGAATAAACCAGCTGTGTGCATCTCCCAGCCTTCCACACTGGGAAGGTGCCTCCAGGGCAGCTGATTGCTCCGTGGGGTTAATGACCTGAGCTCCCTGCAGGACTGGGACACAGGAGAGGGACTGACAGTCTCAGGGCATTCCTGAGACACAGTTCATCCTGCCCATCTGAAACGATGACTTAGGAGCTGCAAATCCCTAAGGAGGAATCATATCTTTTGAGTTCAGCTGGGACAGCCTGTGGGTGCCCCTTCCAGAGCTCCAGGCCCTGGAATAACACAGGGTTGGCCCTCTGGGGCGTTCTTATGTTGGCAAAACGTACCTATGCAAAGGAGGAAGCTGAACTCCAGCACAAAGGCATTTTGCATCTGGAGGACATGTTCTCAAAGCAGCAAAACATCTTTGTTATGAGTGTAACATATGTGGTACTCTCCCTCTGTTTGGCAGGAGATAAGAAAAACAGAAGCAAGGCAAAAATGAAAACAAAATGGAGCATATAGGGCATCATGAAACAATTACAGCGCTGCCTCTCATTAGGGTCTCAATCTGGGCTTGCCAGTCTTGTTTTAAAAACAGTTTTGTTCAACACCCAGTGACAGAGTTTAAAAGCTGACGTATCTTGCTGTATTGTGGGCCACAGCCACAGCTGGTGTAAATCAGTATAAACTAATGAAGTCAATGGAGCTTCTCTGATTTACACGAGCTGAGGTTATGGCTCAATAAGGTTAGGCTTGCTTTCTAGGAGTGTTCAAGGAAGCCAACTTCTGTGTGTCCTGTGATGAAGTGGTTATTTATAATGGTCTTCGGTGTGGTTTGGAGCCAAATTTCCACATCAAAAGTAGCTTTATGAGAGATATCCTTACAGTGAGGTTCAGTGCAAAATCATGACTTCAGAAGCCAGCTTTCCTCGTGCTCTCAAGTATTTGATTTCAGCCTGAAAACCATTTGAGAAGCCAAGAAAAGCAGAGCCATTCCTGCCTACTTCCCCAGCTCTGCTTCATCTTTGAGTCCCGTGCATATCCAACAGGCCCTGACCTACACTGCCCATTTATCAAAGCCAGTTACTCTAAGTGTCTGTTTATTTACCTTCAGAAATTCCCAGGAAGACAGACAAGTTTCATGCTTAACCTGAAAAATTGGGGGTGGAGGTGGGGTTCTTACCAGTTCCAGAGCTGTTTGTTTGACTTGGCCACCGGTAAAAATAAAACACAATAACGTGTCCCGGAGTCACAGCGAGAGGTGGAGGTCACAAGAAAACAGATCATGTCTTTCACAGCTCTTCAGCTCCAGTGCACTGAATTATGACTCCTATTATTTACTTACTGGATTCTCCACCCTGTGTGCAGGCTCCAAGCATTCAAAAAGCAGCAGGTCTCTGCTTCAAAGGGCTGACAGGCAAGTGAGAGGGTAAAATCTGCCCTGAAGCTTTCTGTCTGAGAGGTCAATGTTCTCACAGCTCTCAGCTGACTTCTGCCATCTTCTGCTCAGCCATGCCTGCAGTGCCGCTCCTTTGTGCTCTCCTCTGCTCAATGAAACAGCATCTCATGGCAAATGCATTCCCCTCACAGCCAAACCTGCTCTCTGGGCACAAACCACCCATGTGTTGCAGCTCAAGTGCTTTGGCAGAAGTTCATTAGTTTTTCTTAGGAGGCCCCTGCTCCCTGCATGTCCAGCCTTGGTGTGATCTACCACAGATCTACCACCAGATGTCCAGACAATATCACGGGCCCTTTCACTGACCTTGTCACTTTGAAACAGGCTGATTTCTTTAGAGCTCCTTGTTAGAAAAAGGGTGTCTTGAGTCCAGTTGTTGAGCCCCCAAACCAGGGCTGAAGCCTCTCCAAATCTCCTGAGTGGTTCCTACACATCTGTGGAGAATGCCAAGCTCTGTGGGCTCACTGGGGCCAAGGAGACAACTTTGTGGGGATGCTTCCAAAAAGGGTTCATTTGATACTTAAAGGCAAATAATTTTCTACTTGACATATCTGTTATTTTCTGCTGTTATATTACTGTAGGAAGATCCATCACCACCTGCTCTGTGTGCTCTGGTTTTTTCTCAGCTTCACCACTTGAAGCAACCGCGAGGTAAATTTTTTCTTAGCCTGCACAATATTTAGCTTTTAAAATGGTCAAGGGCCCTCAGCCTTTCTCCTTTCTAACCCAAAACCAAACAGAATTCCTATCTTTTCTTTTTTTAATAATTTCCACAAGCAGCTGTGTTTGGTTGTCCCAAAATCAAGAGAAATTCTCTTCCCTGTGGAATATTTTTTAAAAAGAATTCCACCAGGCAAAATAATTTCATTTCTGTTAACACTATCTCACAGCCTTTCAGTATTGGGCTCTAATTTTGGGGTTTAATGCATGTCTAGTCTTACTAGGGTTGAACTGGAAGGCAGTCGGACAATTCTCAGATAACAAGCAGGAAAAAACAACGTAAATCCACTCTCCCAGAGGAACTAGAAATAGTTAATTACACACAAGTGACAAACCCAGTTTCCTCACCATCAGGACTTCTACTGAACCACAGAGTTTCAGCACTTTCCTTGAATCTGGTTGGGGCAAAGACAGGAAACTGCATCTTCTAAACTTTAGAAATAGATCTTAACCGTGTAAACATAAGATATTATGCCCCTATCTTTTAAGTAACATTTATATTATCTCAAATAAACAGTCTCTCCCAAGTTAGTCTGTAATTGACATCTGACACAGTCCACATTGCAACAGAAATGATAAGTGCAGTAAACAGCAGAAATTATGCTTCTCTGGGCTCGGAGAAACATTCATATTTCCTTGCACAGATAAACTTTATTTTGTTGCTACGCAACCCTCACACAACACACCCCGTTCTGGAGTAAATAAGAGCACAGATTTTTACAACTGCAGGGCAAGCATGTGGCCTTTTGGGTTTTCTCCCCATTTTGAGTTCCAGCCCCAGCTTTAGTTCACATTAGAATATTCCATCATTTTCTTGCAGAGCTGCCTCCAAAGCTCAGTGAGGGATATTTCAAACAGGAGAGTCAGAACGCTCGAGTCCTTCTGGGGCTGATGGGGAACAAATGGTGGAGCCTCTGACGTCAGCGAAACCACGAAATCAAGTCTTTTTTTCTCTCTTTTTAATCTCCCTTAAAAAAGAACATTTAATTTCCACAACAAGATATTCAAAACCTTTGTGCAGCAGCCTCTCCCTACTCCCAGTAACACTTCAACACCTGCAACACAAGTGAGACAGGTGAAGAGCCACCCTTAGTTTTACCCAAGGTGAGAATAATGGAGTCTTACCTACTTGGCTTTTTATAACTGCAAAATTTCTCCTGACTGCAGAGGGTATTTGGATTGTTCAGGGAAGAGAGGTGCAGGTCCTGTTTGCCTCTGCATCCTCTTCATAAGCAGAGTGAATAAGACCAAGATTTATCTGCCTGAAGGGTGCTCATGGACACTGAGTAGAGCCACAAGGACCTTCCCAAGCCATGGGTTGATGCCTCAATTATTCAAGTTGCTCTTTTGCATGTGTCTGCAAATCCTGCAAACTCTCCCAGGTGGCATCAGCCTTCCCTTGCCAGTGTCAGCAAATGAATCCAGGTGAAAAACGTGACTCTGAGCTCCAGCTGGGCGCAGCTGGCATGGTTTGGGCTACAGGGATTTGCATCATCCAAGGATCTGACCTATATCCAATGCACATACAGAACAGCTGTCTGATTGCAAAGGGGT